TGAGCACCTGAGTCAGACCACGGCCCTCTTCTGCTCAGGACTCGCTGGCTCCACTGCATCAGGGTAAGAGCCGGAGTCCTCCCCGCGGCCCACGAGCCCCACACCATCTGGTCCCTCCCCTCTGCCCTCAGCTCCTCCCACTCTCCCTCTCTCTCACTCTGCTTCGGCCACATGAAGCTGCTCCACGAACATTCTAGAACATCTCCATGTCAAGGCCTGTGTTTTGCTTCCCCCCCGCCCCCCGCCCTGTCCCCAAGATCTCTGCAGTGTTCCTTCCTTCCCCTGAGTTCCAGGAGGCCTCAGTTCCTCTGCCCGAGCTACAGTGACTCTCCGAGCAGGCCTGTCATGTGTGACCACAGCCTCCTGGCTAACACAGGTGGTGGGGGGGGGGGGGACGACCAGTGGACCCCAAGGCCCTCACGTTACCTTTCGGGGCTGTGTCCCCAGAAGGGCATCCCCGAGACCTCCAGCACAGCCCCGGGAAGCCAGGCCACATGCTTCCTGCCTGCTCGGGAATGCCCGGCCTCTCAGCTCCATGTGCAGCAGGGAGCCTCTGATTGCCCCAAACAGCTCTGACGAATTGCTCTGGAAACCCAGGAAGCTCTGGAAACCCAGCAAGCTCTGGAGCTTGTGCTGCTCGGAGGAGGGCAGGGGCCAGGTGGCTGCCCGCCTGGGATCGCTCAGCCCACGGCGGTGCCCACAGCAGGCCTGGCGCCTGGCGCTGTGCCCGGGAGCGGGCTCCCATGATGAGCGTCTGGGGGAGAGTCTGAAGGCACTGAAGTCATCGCGGGCACAAGCTGCGACAGGCTGCAGTGGCTCCCATGCAGGAGCTGGAGCGCCAGGGGCGGGGAGGGGTTTCCCTGTGTGGGCACGGTGGGCCCACCCCTCTCCCGCAGCCCTCGGACTCTGCCAGCAAACTCACTCCCCCCACCCCGAGACAGTCCATCTTCCCCAGAGTAGCCCAGAGTGAGCTTTCAGAAACGTTAAGTCAGAAGATGTGCTCCAAAGCCTCCCGTGGCTCCCACGCCCTTCAGATCAAACGCCAGCACCTGACCACAGTCACTCCCGCCCACCCTGCCAACCTGACCTCCTGCCACTCTCCCCTTTGCCCTGGCCACTCCACCCCCTTGGCCACACGACTAATTCCGGAGCACTGCAAAGGAGCTCACCCTCAGTGGCTGGGCATTCGCTGTTTCCTCTGCCTGGACTGTTCCCTTGCTTCCTACAAAATACCACCTCCCCCCAGAAGCCTTCCTGGACCTCCACCCTGTTCGGTTTTTCTCCCCAGCCCTTAACCCCACCTGGCATGTTAACATTACATGGTTGCTCAAGCATCTGTCTGCCTGCCTCACTCTCTCTCCGGGAGCATGTCAGCTCCACAAGGCAGGGACTCTGTGCCCTGCTGTGTCGCCGTGTCTGAACCACTGCCCGGCACACGGGTGCTCCGGTGGGCAGTGAAGGTAAGAACAACATTCCTCCCAGGCCCGCCCGGCCCCGCTCTCCTCTCCAGACTCTCAACGCTCCCCATGCAGCCTCCTGACACTCAGCAGTTGCCCCACCTCTTAAACAGCTCGCTGGCACTGCCCTGGACCAGTCTCCTCCCTCTTCACGTCCCGCTGACGCACCCACAGCTGCTCTGTCCTCCCATCCAGGCCCCCTCCTTCTCACGCACACCTCGGCCTCGGCCCCACCCCTGAGATTTCGCCTCCCGGGCCCCCAGCACCATCTCTCAAAACATAAATCTGCCCCCGTTACCCTTTCCTCCGAAACCTTTCCTTGCTGCCCGCGGCTCTGAGGATCAGATCCAAACTCCATCATGGGGCTGACAGGGCCTTGTGTGGTCTGGCCCCTGCTGCCATCCCAACCTCCCATGCCAACATGGACCTAGCGAGCCAAGGGGCCTGTGTTCAGTGACTGATGGCACCCACCCTGCTCCCCACCTCAGGGCCTTTGCACATGCTACTCCTTCTCATAGCTACATCCTCTCCACCCTCCATCCTCCTCTTCTCTCTCTCTTTAAACTGTAAAATAGCCCATATGCAGCAAAGTGTACAAAACATACATATAACCACATGCCAGACCAAGAATATATCATCAGCCCCCTGAAATCTATTCACCTGCTCCCTCCTCCTCATCTCTCTCATCCCTGGCAGCAATGCCCCCCGCACAGGAAATTATCCTCGCCCCCAGGCTAGATTAGACACCCCCTCCAGCCCTGCACCATATCCACTCTCAGACCCCAGTGGGGCTCCTCGCGGGCTTTCCCCAAGCATCATTCATTCCTTACTTTTGTAACTGTTGGCTTGCCGTCTCCCCTGGCACCCCGTCTGCCCGCAGCACCCAGCAGAGGGCCGGGCATACAGTAGGCGCTCACTGTGTGAATAAACACCAAGAGCTGTGCTAACAAATAACAAAGTGCTGTGACGTAGAGCCCAGGCAGCTCTTGAGCACTGTGCCCGCCCTCGAGGGGCCGAGGCTGGGCAGCAGGCTGTCAGCGAGCTAGGCCCAGGGGAATGGATGGAGGACAGCAGACGCGGGGCGGTCAGGCCGGCAGCAGGCAGAGGCCCACGTGGGCCCCTTGGGCCCAGGTCTGACCCGAGCAGGTGCTGGGCGACCAGGCAGGGAGCTGGGGCCCGCTGAGATGGGAGGATCGTGGGAGGACCAACGGAGCGAGGGGGCAGGACGTGCACATCTCTCTGGACCGCTCTGCCCCCAGCTCCCGGGCTCTCTCCTCCAGGAGAGCCCCTCCCACACCGGGGTCAGGCCCCTCCTCGGGGCTCCCACACCCCCACATCCCAGGCACTTCCCTCACCCCGGCCCTCACCACTCCGTGCGGTCACTGCCTGCGGCCAGGTCTGCCTCCCCCACCGGACTTGGAGCCCTGAGAGGGCAGGCCTGGGCTGTCCTGTCACCCCATGTCCCCAGCACAGCCTGTCACAGGCCTGGCTCAGGGGAGACATTCTGAGTCTGAGGCAGGGCCTCATGTTTTTTATACCATCCCCGCGCGATTCTAACGGCGGCCAGGCCTCAATTGAGTTCCACAGCCAGGCCGTTGGAAGGGCTCTACACATCAGCTGGCTTAATCCTCACCGCATCCCCCTGAGGGAGGTATGTGATGTATCCCCATTTCACGGATGAGGAAACAGAGGCCCAGAGAGGTTCAGTCATTTCTTCAAGGCCACACAGCCAAGACAAGACAGGGGGAGGGCTTGAACTCAGGTGGGCTGGAGCCCACACTCTCATCTCCCATGAATGTGTTTCTTTAAACCAACTCATTTAACGTTCCTGCACCTGTCCAAGGCAGGATCTGTCAATCAGGGGAGGGATGGATAACCCTTTTCCTAATATTCATTAAAGCAACACATATCCATTTAAAATGAAACATTTCCCTCCCCGTCCCACCCAAACCACCTCGAGCACCCCATTTTGGGAAATGCATTCCCCAGAGCGCCTGGTTGCCTAGGAGAAAACTTCAGGAAGCAGCTTAGAAGGATTTGCAATTAGCCTCAATTGTCTGCATGCAAACGAGAACTCCGCGCAGGGCCCTCTGCTGTAGCGGCTCCTCTCCCACTCCATTCCCCTCATTGCCGGGTTCGGCAAGCCCTTCTCAGGACGCGGGGGGTTGGGGGGTGGTCTTTGACATCTGTCTCAGCGATGATCTGATTCTCGTCTGTCTCCATCAATGGACAGCGGGCTGAGGTGAGGGCTGGGGCCTCTCTGAACGTGCTCATTATTTCTCCTCAGCTCCCAGCCTCGTGTCTGGGACATAACAATCCTCGAGAAATATTCTGAGTGAAACAAATGGATAACTTAATAAACGAAGAAGCTGTTGAAAAGAGTCCGTGAGTTCGAGAAGCAAAGGAGATGGAGATCCCCGCTGGGGGGCCTGGACGCCGGCTGGCCCCTGCTCAGGGTGGTCAGGGAAGGGGAGGGAGGCTGTGGCCTCGGGGGTCACAGCACAGTAATCGCTGCCTGGGGCCACGGACCTGTCAGCTGGCCGAGGCTGAATCCAGAATGATTTTTCTGTCTGCATTTTTCTGGGAGGCGGCTCGTTGTCATCTGATTCTCAGAGTGGATGCGGTCCAGACTCCAAGTTCTGGTTCCTCGACACCTGTTCTTTCTCACTCACTCCCCTGCCTGTCTCTCTAGTGGTTCTCAAAGCGTGGTCCCGGGACCAGCAGCATCCGCATCTACTGGGAACGTTGTAAAAATGCGTATTCTCAAGCCCCACCCTGACCCAGTGTATCAGAAACTCTGGGTGGGGCCTGGCAACCTGTGTTGAGCAGCCCTCCACGCACTGCTTGGAGACCCTGCCCTTCACTATGGAGGCTGGAAGGCTAAGCCGTGATCTCCCAGACTTCCTGGGAGCTCGGGTGGCCATGTGATGGTGCCTCCTGATGGGGGGAAAGCATTTGCTTTCTCCACAGAAAGGTAGCTACAGAGATGCCACCTCCCCTCTGTTCTCTGCCCCATACCCCCAGGGGCACCCAGCCATCTGGAGACCAGGGAGCTGCAGGCAGCATGATAAGGATGGTGCAGTGGGAAGACACAGGGTGCCAGGCCTTGAGGCCCTCCTTGAGCGGCTGTACCAGTCGGCTCTGCTCTGTCTGGATTTCTCATCAGGGGACTGTTAAACCTCTATTTGTTTAAGCCACCGTGGGTCAGATTTCCCATGACCTCTAGCCGAATGCACTCCTAACAGATAACAGTCTGTGACTCCCCGTAGAAGTCATAAAAACCACTGGTCTCAGCAGAGAGAGAAGGAAAAAGAGACAGAGCGTCAGAGTGAACCAGAGACAGATGAGACAGCCAGCCAGGGATTTTTCTCCCTCTACCGTGGTCCTTGGAGGCTGATGGATGGGCAGCAGGGGGTGGTCCATGAGCCACCCAACTCTGTAAGCAAACTAGTGTGCAAGCACACACATTTGTGAGCATGATTGTGGGGAGGTGGAAGGTGGTCGGGACCCCCTAAAGGACCCAGACTAGGTGCAGCGCCTTACCTGGGCTGCCTGGGCGAGTCGCGGCTGCCCCCAGCCAGGCCCGTGGGAGTGCTGGAGCCCGAGGAGTACAGCTTCGGCCGGTAGCCCTTGCTCTGGCCAGCCACCGCCGGGGCTGGCGAGACCTCCCGCCGCCTGTCTGCGTGGTGGGCCCGCCCGGCCGCCTCGCGCCCGCCCCCACAGAGGCCCATACTTCCGGGGGGCTTGTGCGGCTTGGCCGGCCGGGGAGTCTTGGCCAGCGACATGCAGCTGGGGCTGGAGGTGCAGAGGGCGGTGTCAATGCCGCTGTCGCTAGAGCCGCCCTTGGAGAGGGGGTCCTGCTCTGGTTCCAGGGGGTCCAGGGGGTCAAACCAGCGATCGTCGCTGTGGCTGCTGGACGCGTTGCTGGAGAGGGTGTTGCTGCTGGAATGACTGGAGTACTGAGGCTCGCCCTGGAAAGGAAGAGGAGCGTGCCACCCTGGGACCCAGGCGGGGCCGGCCTCCCCTCCCAGCCTCCCCCCGCCTGAGTGTGCACCCTGGAGCCAACGACTTCCAGCTCTGGCCCCCCACTGGCTGACCGTGTGACCTTGGGCAAGAGACTGAAGCTCCTTGTGCCTCAGTTTCCACATCTGTGAAATGGAGCTGATGGTAACCCTGCCTCACGGGGTTTGCTCAGAGGGAGACATGGCATTACATATGTGACATGCTGTCCACAGCTCGAGCTCACCACGTCTACGATTGAGCTCCCGGCCTTCCCTCCCAAATAACGGCGCCTCCACCCTGTCAGCCACCTCACCCCAGAGCCTGGGAGCCACCCTGGACCCCGCCCTCTACTCCTACTCTCATATCCAGCCCCATAGGAAATCCTGCTGCCTGCATCTTCAGAATAGACCAGAACCTGCCATTTCTCCTCCCTCTACGGCTCCACCCTGGTCCTGTCTACTGCTGCACCATGGCACAGCCTCCCCTCTGCTCCCTCTGCTCCCGTCCCGTCTCCCCCGCCCCACCAGCCCCCACTTTGCTCCCCACAGCCAGAGGGAGGCTGTGAACACCCACATCAGATCATGTCCCTGCCCTGCTTAGAACCCCCCTGTGGCGCCACCTCACTCTGGGGAAAAGCCAGAGCCCTCACCCCGGCCGACGGGTTCTGGTCTCTAACTTTATCTCCTCCCTCCCTCTCCATCACTCTGCTCCAGCCACTCTGGCCTCCTCGCTGTTCTCTGAGCACGCCAGGCACACTCCCACCTCAGGGCCTTTGCACCTGCTGCTTCCTGTGCCGGCAATGCTGTTCCCCCACGTATTTTCATGGATTGCCCCTTACTTCATACAAGGTTTTGGCTTCCAGGTCACCTCCTCAGAGGCCTTCTCGGACCACCCTATCCCAGAGCAGCAGAGCTTGACACTCTCTCTTTTCCCTTAACTGTGATTGTTTTTCTTTCCCAGCGAGGACCAGTTCTCAGTGTTATATAATGCATCTGTTTATCTGCTTGCTGTTTGTTGCCCCCACTGGGATGTCAGCTCTGTGAGCACAGGGGCTTGGCTATCCCCTTCATCACTGTGGTCCCAACGCCATTCGCGTTGTAAGAGCTCATCAAACACCCACTGGATGCAAAGAGTGTCAAGCGCTCGCCAACTCTCTCCCCCTCCTGGGTGCACCGGGACTGCGTTTCCCAGTTTCCCTCGCACTTTGGTGTGGCCTCACGATGGAGTCTTGGCCAATGCAGTGTACGCGGAAGCGACTTATGCCATTTCCAGGCCTGGGCTACCAACACATCCCACGTGATCCTCTCCCTCCCACCCCCATCTGCTGGAAAGAGGCAGGGACCCAGCAGAGGCTCCAGGCCTGAGGGACAGCGGAGCCCCAAGACGGAGGGAGCCTGGGTTCCGGAATCACCAGGTGGAAAGCTGCTCCCTGAATACCCGTCCTGTATTGTCATACGAGAGGGAAGTAACTTCTATTGTGTGAGGACAGAGATGTGGGGACTGTCTGCTGTAGCAATTAACCTACTGCCACAGGCTGACTGAATGTGTTCTCCAAATTCACAGGTTGAATTCTAAATTCAAATGTGATTGGAGGTGGGGCCTTTGGGAGGCGACTGGTCATAGGGTGGAGCCCTCACGAAGGGGATCAGTGTCCTTAGAGACCCCAGGGAGCTCCCTCGCCCCTTTAGCCACGTGAGGACCCACGAGAAGGCCGTCTATGAACCAGGAAGCAGGCTCTCACCACACACCGAATCTGCCTGGGCCTGGAGCCTGGACTTTCCCGCCTCCAGAGCTGTGAGAAAGAAGTTTCTGTGGTTCATAAGCCACCCAGTCCATGTATATTTGTTAGAGCAGCCAGTGCTGCAGGAGACACCTACCATGACAGAAGCAATAATGAGAAAGGGCGGCCTGAGGTGGTGAAGGGATTTGCCCAAGACGACGCAGCTGGTGAGGGCTGCAGCCAGAACGTGCACCTGGCTGGTTCTAACTCCAGACCAAGCATTTGGCGCCTCTGCTGGCGTGGACGGTGGCAAAGCGGGAGGATGTGCTTATTCGTGGTGCTCAGAGGCCCACACCCACCTCTGACAGTCCCGATTCCCCAGGGCGGGGCCCAGACTCACTTTGGAATGCCTGTTGGGGGAATCTTTGCCTGCCGCATCCTGCCTGGAGGCGTGCTTGCTGCCGCTGCTTCCAGCCACGGCTGAGAGCCGGGCCTGGGCGGGCACATGCCACAGGGGCTCTGCAGGAAGAAAGGAGAGACACACCAGCGGTTAGAGGTGACGCAGGCCCTGGCCCGAGTCCACCTGAGGAATCTGGCCCTAGATATCTTTGATGGTCCCACTCCCCCGCCAGCTTGTCTGCTCAGCTCACACAGGCCCACGACCCCATCCACTTCTGTCTTGGGTATAAGACACTCAGTAAGGGAATGTTTACTGAGCATTTTCAGTGTACCAGGCACCACTCTAGTGCTTCACATGGTCAACTCATCAACGCCTTTCCACACCCGTCCATCGCCAGCCCCAAAGGAGGCTGTGCACACTGTCACCCTTACTGGCGTCTGGATTTCCTGTTTTGTAAATTACTTGTTCATATCCATTACCCATTTTTCTATGGGGTTGACTGTGTTTTACATTATTGGTGAACAGGGCTCTTTATATATGCAAGGTAGCAATCCTTTGTTGATTAAATATGCATAACTTTTTAAAACAGGAAAATGGAATCAAAATAAACTTGATTTTTCACTTTCCAATACACTGACACTTGCTTTTCGCTTTACTTCTTCATAATACACCCTCACATAACTGAACGTGCAGTTATCTTATTTTAAATAGCTGCACAGTATTCCATCATGTAAATGGACATGTTATTTAACCAGTTTTCTACTGATAGACATTTGGGTTATTTTCAATTTTTCCTTTACAACAGTGTTTTACTGGCCTTCCCTCTAAATGCAACTCGGAGCAAGTGTGGGATTGCGTCTGAGACAGAGATCTACAAGTGGAATTGCTGGGTCAAAGGTGAAGTGCGTTTAAAATCGCAATGGCTGGTGTGGGTATAAATTAGTCTAGACTCCCAAGGCTAGTCAGGGTGCCTGACCTGAGCATCTGACCTTAAAATAAAAGGACCACCCAACGGAGGGCTGGTTAATATCTACTAAACTTACAAATGCACTAATGGAGGATCTGAACCCAGGTGGTCTTACCCCAGAGCCCACACGTTTGATCACTGCTGTATTTAAGACACTTATAATAGTGATAATTATCACGAAGCCCGTGCTCTGTGCCAGCACGCGTCAACCTGCTGTGTCCTCCCAATAATACCGTGAGGTGGGTATCAGCACCATCGCCAACAGATGAAGGAGAACATTGAGACTCAGAAGTTAAGACACTGGTCCGAGGTCAGCCAGTGAGGAAGGGCCAGACCTGTGCTCGCGACCCCTGCCCCCTCTCTGTGCTTCCCCAACGTGACACCACGGGCAACAACGTAGAGTAAGCCCTTGACGAGCAGCTGTCGTCATTCCCCTAACGACAGACTGGGTCCTGTGCTGAGGGCTGGGCAGGTGTGATCTCACTGGGCCCCAAACCACCCTGGAGAGACACTTAGGACGTCCACTGCAGAGGAGGGACCTGAGGTCACTGATATGGTCACATGGCCGACTCAGAACTCCCGCCAGGCCTGGCAGAGCCTGTGTCACAGCCACACACGGCTGCCTCAGTGCAGCCCTAGGGCGCTCTGGGCCATGATCCTGCCTGCTGAGGAAGGTTCCTGCTCTCGGCAGTCAGGGCCACCACCGGGAACAGCCTGGCTGGCATAGTCAAGGGTGTCACTGTCTGTGTGGCTTCCGGGAACCCTGGATACGAGAAAGCAGGGAGGCCGGCCGCTTCGTCCACCTACTTTACCTCTGGAGTCAGTTTTCCCCTTTGGAGCATCCCACAGGCCCAGGAGGTGCTGGTCCCCTGGGAGGTGGCCAGACCCCGCTGGGAGGCCACGTGTCCACAGAGAGACAAGCCCACGGCAGTCACACCCAACCTTAAGTACCACTTGTAACACCAACGCCTCCCTCATTTCTGTCTCTGGCCTGGACCCCTCCCCGACTTCAGACTCGTACACCCGGCTGCCTCACAACACCCCATGGGGGGTCTACGGGGCCCCTCCCACTGAACACGGCCAAAGCCAACCCCTATCTTCCCCCAAATCGCCACCTCGCACCGTCTTTCCTGCTCAGTCCACATGGCTCCATCCTTTCAGGCGCTCAGGCCAAAAGCCCGGTATCACCATGACTCCTCCCTCTCCACCCACCCAGAAGTGTCAGGACATTCTGTCACCTCTACCTCCAAATGACCATATCCAGAACCCACCCAGCTCTCCCCCACACTCTCCCCACCCGGCAAGAATCTGTAGCCAGAGTGACCCTGTGAGCACTTGAGTCAGATCCCATCCCCTCTCCACTTAGAAGTGAACCTCATAGCTCGCATCCCACTCTGAGCAAAGAACAAAGTCCTCACCACACGCTGTCACTGTCACCTCCCCGACCTTGTCTCCCACTTCTCCAGCCACATGGCCTTCCTCACTGTTCCTCCAACACCAGACTCACTGCCATCTCAGGGTCTTCGACTAGCTGATCCCTTCCATGGAATGTTCTCCTCCCAATCTCACCTAAAATGTGATTTGCTCAGAGATTCCCCCAAACTCTGTCAATCTCTTTCTCAGCCTGTGTTAGTTTCCACTCGACACTCAGCATTACGGGTGATTATTTTACCACCACGTGCCCCCGTGTACTGTCCAGCTCTCCTAAGAGACTGTCACTTCCAAGAAGGCAGGGGACACGCCTGTCTGGCTCACCCTGCACCCTAGCACCCAGACTTGCGTGTGTCATCAGTGACATGCTGAAGGAACAGAGGGATGAAGGGCCAGGTTCCTTCCCCTCCTGGCTGCCCCAGTGTCCCTGGCTCTGCCCTTAGCAGGCCCTGATTCTGGGCCGTTCACTGGCCCTCTGGACTGGCCCCCAGGGACCTTCTGGCCCTTCTGCTTTACCCTTAACACACTGGGCGGGTGACAGACATGGATTTGGTTGTGAGGGTGTGCTGAAACCACGGCCAGGGTCAGATTCAGGGCAGCTGGAGACTCCAGGCCACCTTCCCAACCTGGTGCTCTGAGGCCTGGGAGATACTCAGACTCTGTGGGTGAGGGATTGTGGGTGGTGTCTGCAGGTGGCAGGCGGCAAGGAGGGTTCTAGAACCCAACAGGCCTTGGTTCAAATCCCAATTATGATGCTCACCAGCAGGGACCCTGGACACATGACCACCTTCCTGTGCCTCATCTTTCTCATCTCGAGAACGGGGCAGCCCCAGTGCCCACTCTGTCGTGTTCCGGGATGAGGAAATAAGAGGGAATTGAACAAGCGCACAAACCTGGGCTGCTGTGACTGTGAGTATCAGCATCTGATCAGGGCTGGGCAAGGCCCGTGTCTGTCATGGTGTCTGATTCCCAACCCCCACCAGACTACCCTTTTTCTGGGTCTTGAATACATTCTAGACTTCATGATGATTTCCAAACAGACCATGTGTGTGCGTGTGTCTGTGTGTGCACAAGGGGGAGTTAGTCAACTTACAACAAGGTCCCAAGGAAGTGACATGGGCACCCAGCTGCAGGGGACAGAAGGCAGGAGAAGGGAAGGACAATGCTGAGTCTCTGTGACACCTTATTTAGGGCCCGTGATAAATGCTGGACAAATTTCCTCCCCATTTTCATGAAGTCTCCAAGCAGGACTTTTCTCTTATTCTGAACTGGGTGGAGAAAAAAAAGATCCATATCTGTCTGTCTTGGAGCAGAGATCACGGAACTGCAGGCAGTGCCAGGCAGACCCAGCGTGCTGAGGAGAGGAGAAACCGTGTCCACAGGCCCCCGGGGTGGCGGAAGGGGCAAAGGGAGGGGAGGGGGACCTGCTGGCCTGAAGGCCAACCATTTTCCCTGGGTTAAGGGAACCACGGGGCTGGGGCGCCGAGGACTTCTCCAGCTGCTAACCCTGGGCCAGGCAACCTCTTCCCTACCCCACGGTGCCTGGCGAGCTGGTGACACGCCGACACGGTCATCTCCCAAAGCTGCCTGGAAATTCTTGAACGTCCCCTAAGTGGACATCTCCATCTCCCCCTGCAATGTCAATGCTCTCTGACACTCCACTGATTTTCTTTCTTTCGAACCCACCCATTTCGTGTGGTGGTTCTCAAACTTCAAAGGAGCTACAAGTTTGTATGTGAAATTATGTTTAAAATATTCATCTAAGTAGTACATGCCCATGATTAATAATCATATATAGGAGCATAGAGGACAAGATGCTCATCTCATCAGGCACCAGAAAAGTGCAAACTAAAACCACCACGTGCTACCACTCTGTGCCCCCCAGAGGGGCTGGGATGAAAAGGCCGGTGAGGATACAAGGCAAGTGGAACGCTTGGGTGTCACTGGTGGGGGTGTGAAATGGCTCATCACTTTGAGAAATGGTTCCACACTCTCTTACAAAGTTAAACATGCGGCCCAGCAATTCCTCTCCCAGGTATACACCCTACAGAAACGTGAGCATGTGTTCATCAGAAGACATGTGCCAGAATATTCCCTGACAGCACTATTCTAAGCAGCCTCAAACTGGAAACAACCCAAATGCCCATCAACACTGGAATAGAGTAATAAACTGTGGGTCATTCACACAATGGAATACTACTCAGAAATCACATTGCCACACGCTGTCACGAGGATGACTCTCATGAACGTGACGTTGAGCAACAGAAGCCAGACACACACACAATACATCCAGTGGGAGCCTGTATTCCATAAACTTCAAAACCAGGCAACACTAAGTTTGGCTGTGAGAAGCAGAGGGGTGGCCTTTGGGGTGCTGATTGGGAGGGGCATGGGAGCTTCCAGGAGGCTGGGTGTGGGACATGGGTGCGTCCACTTTGTGACATTATCACACTGGACGCGCACCATTGGGGCTCTTTTCTCAGCATACGCTGTTCTTCCTAACACTGAGAACACAACACAGAAGGGTTTATGTAAGGACAAGCCTCCGAACACAGTCGGTTCTCCCCCCACCCGAGAGCATTGCTTCTAGTCCTTTTCAACCATGTCCCCTGGTGGTCACCACCCCGTGTCACACATCTGTGCTCCAGCTCCTGACTGACAGCGCCGGCAGACGCCACCTGCTGATGCCCTGTGGGCATGGACACGGACCAGCTCACTGTCCCCGCTGCTCTCCCAGGTGACCTCTCTAATCCTACGTGTGGCTCTACAGCTTGTGTGTGTGTTTATCCCTCACTGACAGGAGGAGAGGTGTCACCTGTCAGACTGTTAAGTCAGAGGTCCCGCAGGGCGAGGCCGGCAGGCACGGCTGGCCCGGGGAGGCCCTACCTGGCTTCTGGCGCTCCATGGTGCTTTCCTGGCTGGTCAGGCCACCTGAGGAGGAGTCGCCGCTGGACGTCCCATCATGGCCGAAGTGGGGATCGAAAGACAGCAGTGGGTGCGGGGCGGCCGCATACCTGCAGGGGAGCAAGAGGAGGCAAGCGAAAGATGAAGGGCCAGTGTGTTGAAAACCACCTGAGCCTGTGGCTTCTTCACTGGCGGGTTTTAAGTCCACAGGAGACTCTGCGTGGAGGGCAGAGAAAGCAAGGCTAGATGAGTAAGCCTGGAAACGTGCTATTAACGGAGGATCAGGAGTGAGTCTCGCCTGGGAAGCATGCCAGGGAGCTGGTGGTGGCATAGAGCACAGGGCACGGCAAGTCCTCAAGGAAGGAGGGGCGGGAGCCACTTGGGCCCACCGCCCTGCCTGTAGGCTCCTTGGGGTCCTGTTTCTTGGCTGTGAAATGGGGTGAGCCTCTTGTTCAGCTGGGTACAGGCCCTTTCTAGCCCTGAGCCTCAGTTTGCCATCAGAGGCAGTCACAAGAGGCCCTTCCTTGAGGACTGAATGACATCCTGGGTGCCCAGCATGCGCCCTGAGGCTGACACCTGACACAAGCGAGCTGGGACAACTGGCCGATGGGCCAGAGCTGTGTCTCTCTGCGGGAGGCAGGCGCTGATGCGAGAAGCTGTGGGCTCAGGCTCCACAATGAGGCAGATCTGGGCTCAGGCCCCCGTGCCAGCCCTGATGAGCTGTGTGACCCTGGTCTGGCAAGGGGTCGTCAATTTGAGCTGCAGTTTTCCCACCTGGAAAATGGGGTAATGACGTTTTCTACCTCACAGGGTTGTGGAGTGCATGAAACAGTTATCTCCTAGATAGACTGCCCTGGAGGCTGGCTCTGCACACCCACAGGCCAGAGCTGAGATTTAACGGAGGAAGCGGCAGAAGGTTCTCCCTGTGGCCTCATGTCCCAGCTGCATTCTCCACACCCTGAAGTGAATCCTGTGGGTCCCACCCAATGTCCATTCCACCTCAGCTCAGAGCCAGTCACGACAGAAACCATTCTCCCCACCCGGCGTTGGTTCAGGGACAGACACATGACACAGTCTGGCTAATAAGACGGGACAGGGTGTGAGTCACTAAGATTCCCACGAAATACTTCGGGCTCTCCACCTGGCACGCACACGGCAGGACTGCACTTTCTGGCCCCTTGAGATTGGCTGGGGGTGCCGGGTCACTGGTTCTCATCAATGAGCCGTGAGGAAAGTGACTTGGAGGTGGTGGCTGCTCAGGTGGCCTGGGTTCTCAGAGGTCCCCTGCGAGCCAGCAGTGGAGCTGCAGCACGGCTGCAAAATAACCCTTTGCTGATTTAAGTCACTGAGATTTTCAGATGCTTGTTACGCAGCATAACCTGACTGAAATGGGGGCAGCCCGCTGTAAAAGTCTCCTTGCTTCTAAGAGAGATGACGAAGAAAGATGGCCGCTCTTCTCCATCCAGCTGTTGCTGGGTCCAGATATACCACTGTCGGCCTCTCACTACCAGCCTGAGGATGAGGCCATGGCTGGGGGTGGAAGAGAGGAGGCAGAAGGGACCAGGCCCTCGATAATGTCAAGATGCTGCGTTAACCCTCCCTGGAGCCTGCCCTGCCTCTGAGCCTCCTTGTCTGTGAGATAACAAATTCCTACATTTGAGCCAGTTGAATTTTGGTCACTTGTAGCCAGAAGCATCCCACTGACATAGGCCCTGTACTTTGCAGGGGTTACTGAGCCTCCACGAAACGAGCTGATACTGTGATTCCCCATTTGGCTGCAGGTGTCTATACTGGCCACTTGGGAGGGTGATACACTGGGACCCCCGACATCCAAAAGAGGAGTTAGCTGACTTCTCCAGGGTCGCCCTGCCAGCCCAAAGCCAGGGCTGTCTCTGCAGAGACCAACTCTAAACCCCTAGGCCTCAAAGCCTCCAGGGTAGCAGAGGGTGCTTCAGAGGCACAATGGACTTTCGGAAAACTCACCTTTACTCACCTGCCGAGAAAACACATATTATCCCTGCCCTCCCAGACCCTGACCTCTGACGCCTCCGGGAAAGGAAGACAGAGCCAAGACAGCAAGAAGCATAAGCAATCTTCACCTCACCGGCTGACTTAGCAGCCAGCCAGCCACTTGTAAACTGTGGCTCCACCACAGCCGGAAACTGAAGTGCTGGCGTGTCCATTTTCTCGAAATGTCTGTGTCAAATCCCGAGCACGGCAGGAAAACGTCCACAGTGGCTGGGTCGGCCAAGGAAAGTGGAAGAAGATACGTGGGGCAGACGCTGCCAGTGGCTCCCCTGGGATCCATACTCTCCCTCTGCCTTGTAACAGAATCCCAACCGTATGGGGGGCAGCAGTGTGATCGGTCAACAGACGACGTCTCCCAGGCTCCCTTGCGGCTCTAGCCAGTGAGATAGAAGTGCTGCATGTGGCTTCCAGGAAACCTCTGCAAGTGTGCTGCGGGCGCCTTTCCTCACCATCTCGTTTAAGGCCGAAGGTCCAGCAGCCACCCTAAGACCAGGAGGACAATGGCCAAGGATGGCAGAGCATTGGCGAGGAGGAGCCTGGCTCCCTGATAACATGGGAGAAAGAAGGAAACTATCCCGTCTGAATCACCGTTTTCCGTATTATGAAGCTAAACCTAGTCCTGACTGATTTCTTAGAAGCTGAAATCACTTTCAAGATAAAGGGTTTGGGGTTTTGGTGAGGTAACTGGCTGTGGTTCCAGGCGTCTCCAGGCAGAAGCTGATGCCCTGGCCCTGGGGAGGCCTGAGTGGGGGTTGTCTTAAGGTCAGCAGGCTTGGGCTGCCAGGATGTTGGCTTTGAGCTTCCCACTCGGCCAGAGAGGAAAGGACCAAGACAGACATGAATGGAGGCCTGAGGGGGACCTCTAGCCTGCTGTCAGTCCCCCACACCGACCGCTGGACCAATGGACGGGCGAAGTACAGGACGACTGGGGGAAAGGGTGGAAGGACGATGTAGCCATTGTTGCGTGCCATGCCAACAGCCACCATCTCCCTCTCCCCTGCTGGTGGAGCCCAGACTCTGCTCTGGCAGGCCTCCTTCCGCACATGACTTGAGTCAGTCCTGACAGCTTAAGACAGTCATGGGGGACCAGTCTGACCTTGCCACGGGTTGGTTCAGGGGTGGGCAAGTGACCCAGTCTCTTCACTCTTAGACACAAAGAGAAGTCCTTCTCTCTTCTGCAGGGCGCTGGTTTTGCCTGGGGCCACAGAAGCCACCACGGGTCAGGAGTGGAGCCAGGTCCCTGAGGACTTCCCTGCAGAGCGTAACCAGCCCCAGAGCTGCCCAGCCTCTGGACTTCTTATTACGTGATGATAAACCCCCTCAATGCTTCATGCCTTCTTGAGTTAGGTTTCCCATCACAGTGAGTCAAACGCCTCCTAACTAATGTATTGCTCTGTAAGGAGCTGACAGAGAGAAATAGGGGGGGTAAAAAAAGCCAGCCAGGTGCTCTGATGAACAAATGTCTGGGGCCCGGTCTGGCCCTACTGGCTTGCCAAGCCGGGCACAGGATCTGCCCTAACATCTGTCTCGAGTGTGGTGGTCTGCCCATCCCGCACACAATGGCGGCAAACTTCTGAGGGCGGGGCCAGCACCCGCCAGCCTCTCTACCTGGCCACCAGCCCAGGCCCCCTCCCAGCAGCCACAGTCACAACCCTCATGGAGCACTTACCAGTGCCCAGCCCAGTCCTAAGTGCTCTACAGGCTCTCTCCTTGAACTTCTCGACGCTGCTCGGAGGCAGACATTCTACACGTGAGCAGACTGAGTGAGGAGGGGAAGTACCTCCCCACGCTCCCACGGCTCACAGGGGCAGGCCGCCTCGCACCTGTCCTTCAGTAAATCGAAGATGGGCCACGGGACAGGTTCTGTCTAGGAGGGCGTTCCTGCTCCTAAAAGCTCGACAAATTTGGTAAGCAGCAGGCCTGCTGCAGGAGACAGGAGTCCTGAGGGGGAAATGTCCAGCTCGGGTCACACAGGCTCCAGGATGTCACGGGGCAACTGTGCAGCAGGAAAAGGGGGTAAGGAGCTGAGGTCAAAGGCCACCGGGGCAGCCCAACCTGCTCTTGGGCCTCTTACTGCAGGCTGGTGACAGCCCATGAGAGACACTTCTGGGGGTTTCGGGGATGAGGTGTGCTAGGGACATCTGGCAAAGCATGGAACCCAGCTGTTGACAGAGACAAACAAGGTGGAGGCCTGGGCTGCAGAGAGCACAGCTGGGCTCCCCTGGAGCCGTGGGAAGAGAGAGGTGGCCTGGGGAAGAGAAAATCCAAGGAAGAAGTGATATGCTCCCACTTGTCAATGCCCAAGAGCCAGAAACACAGAATCACGGCCATTGAGTGTCAGTGTGAGACGGGGACTCCAGCAGGGACCATGCAGGTCACCTTGATGTGGAGGATGAGCTAAGAGCCCCATGTGCAGGCAGGACAGCTATGGGGGCAGTGTTAGCCCCCCAAATCACATAGGCCTAGGTCCTATCCCAGCTCTGCCACTTCCTGGAAGAGTGACCTTGGCCAAGAGGATTCACCTTGTTGAGCCTCAGTCTTCCCTCTGTGAAATGGAATTAAACTACCTACTCATGGAGCTGCTGGGAGCACTCACTGAGATCGTGTATATGGATCAACAGAATGGACAAGAGAACCAGAAATAGACCCACGCAAATGTGCCCAATTAAGTTCCCCTTCCAATGGATTCTTGCTTTGAGGAACAAAAGCCATGCAATGGAGGAGGGAGAGCCTTTTCAGTAAATGGTGCTGGAGCAAACTGGACAGCTAAGCAAAAAAGGGAATTTCAACCCAAACCTCTCACCTTATGCAAAAACTAACTAAAACAAATTAACTCAAAATGGATCATGGTCTTAAAGATAAAATGTAAAACAATAAAACTTCTGGAAAAAACCATGAGAAAATCTTCAGGACCCAGGACTAAGCAAAGAGTTCTTAGACTTAACACCAAAAAATACGACCCATAAAAGAAAGTGATAATTTGGACCTCATCAAAATTAAAAACTTCTGGGACCAGCCCAGTGGTGTAGTGGTTAAATTCGGCACACTCCACTTCAGTGGCCTGGGTTCGCAGGTTTGGATCCCAGGCACAGACCTATATCACTCATTAGCCTTGCTGTGGCAGCGACCCACATACAAAATAGAGGAAGACTGGCACAGAAGTTAGCTCAGGGCAAATCTTCCTCAGCAAAAAAACCCCAAAAAACAGAAAACAAAAAAAACAAAAAAACTTTTGTTCTGCAAAAGACCTTGTTAAGGAACTGAAAAGATAAACTAAAGACTGAGAGAAAATATTTGAAAACCATACATCTGATGAAGGACTTGTATCTAGACTACATGAAGAACTCTCCAACACTGAAAAACATTGAATCCAATGAGAAGACGGGCCAATGCCACACGTGGACATTTCACTGAAGTCACACACAGTTGGCGAATCAGCCAGGAAAAGATGTTCATCATCATCAGCCGTTAAAGAGATGCAATGAGGTATCATTACAGACCTATCAGAATAGCTAAAATGAAAAACAGAGACAACACCAATGGGGGTGGGGATGTGGAGAAACCAGATCATTCAGCACTGCTCTGGGAATGTAAAATGGTACAGCCGCTCTGGAAAGCAGTTTGGCAGTTCCTTTTAAAACTAAACATGGATGTATCACACACAGTAAGCAATTGTATTCTTTTTTCCAAATGCTTCTCTACAGGCAATACAGAAGGGTCCGCACACCCATTCACTGAAATAACATTGTTCTTCACTTGCCAACCAAACTGCACTCTTAGAACCATCCCCCTCCACTCCCAGCTTTACTGAGGTATAACTGACAAACAAAACGGTAATATAGTCAAAGTGTACAACGTGATGATTTGATATACGTATACGTTGTGAAATGATTACGATAATCAAGTTAATTAACACATCTATCACAGTTACTTTTTCTTTGGTAAAACACTTAAGATCTACTCTCTTGGCAGATTTTAAGTATACAATACAAAATTATTAACTATAATCTCAATGCTGTACCTTAGATCCTCAGAACTTATTCATCTTATAACTGAAAGTGTGTAGCTTGGACCAACATCTCCCCATTTCCCCCAACCCCTAGGCAACCACCATTCTACTCTGTTTCTATGAGTCTGACTTTTTTTTTTGATTTGACAGATAAGTGATACCATACAGTAATTGTCTTTCTCTGTCTGACTTATTTCACTTAGCATAATGCCTTCCAGGTTCATCCATGTTGTTACAAATGGCAGGATTTCCTCTCTTCACGGCTGAATAATAGTCCATTGTATATATACACCACATTTCCTTTATCCATTCGTCTGTCAATGGACACTTAGCTTGTTTCAATATCTTGGTAAGCAATTGTATTCTTGGGCATTTATCCCAGAGAAACGAAAACTTATTTTCACACATGTTCAGAACATAAATATTTATAATAGCCCAAACCCAGAAACCACCCAGATATCCTTCAATGGCTGAATGGTTAAACAAACTATGGTACTTCCACACCATGGAACGCAACTCAGCAAGAGTAAAAAATTGACTATTGATACAGGCAACAACTTGGATGAACCACAAGGAAACTATGCTGAGAGAAAAAGAATCTCAAAAGGATACATACCGTATGATTCCTTTTATATAACATTCATGAAATGACACTAATTAAAGAGTTGCAGAACAGATTAATGGGTGCCAGGGGTTAGGGGTGGGGAGGGGATAGAGACACACACACACGAGTGCAGGTATAACTGGTAAATTCTGAAGGAGCTCTACGGACTGTACCAATATCAAGGTCTTGCTTTGGTCTTGTATGATACATATGCAAGATGTTAATATTGGTGGGTGCTGGGTGAAGGGTTCACGAACCTCCCTGTACATTTCAAAATAAAAAGTTTAAAAATTATACTAATAAAGGGGGGACACCAAGACTTGGAAAGAAAAAAGAAAAAGCCCCCCGGGGTCAGCAGTAACATCATGCCCACCACCTCTGCTCTCAGCTAATCGCTCTGTGCCAACCGCCATTTCCAGCCCCAGCCCTTGCCCAGATATTCCCACACTCCACGCTCCTCTTCACTATTCCTGCATTCCACACCATTTTGCTTATTCACATCTGTGGCCTTTGCTCTGTCTGGAATGACTTTCTCCCTCCTTTCTGCAGCAAACTCCTACCAATCTCCCAAAGCCCTGCTCAAATGTCACCTCCTCCAGGCAGCCAGCCTAGACCTCTGGGGCTGGGCTGTGCTCCCTCCTCCGAGGCTTGAGTTGGTTAGAGCTCTCGTCAGAGCGCACGCCACTTCTAAGACCCTCTCTCCACCAGCCAGCAGCTCTGACAACAGGATTCTCTGGTGAGTGAGTATGTTAAGTATTTCTCCCGGCACGTGGCACAGAAGGCTCTTGATACCCTGTGCTGAGTGAAAGCTGAATGGTGGCTACCAGAAGATGAGTGAGTGTGTTTTTCCCAGTTTTACACCAGAGGCCTAGAATCAAATGATGGTTTAGTGCAGTGGCTCTCTAAGGGTGATCCTGGACCAGCCCTGTCGGTGTCGCACTTTCTACTCCAGACCCACCAAGCTGGAAACTCGAGGGTGAGGCCCAGGGATCTGTATGTTAACAAGCCCTCCCTCCAGGTGATTCTGAGACAAACCAGAGACTGACACCCACTGGCCTAGTGGACTGATCCCCCGTCTTACGGCAGGTGGTCTTACTGAAGCAACTCTCTTATCCTTTCATCAAATACACACCAAGGATTTGCCATGTGCCAGGTCTTGTGCTACGTGATAGTAATACAAGGACGAATTGGGGAGGTCCTAGATCTTGGGGAGAGGGCTCCGTGTCATGAACATGCATGCACGCGTGCGTGTACACAACTGGGCTAATAGAATGGAGGGTACTCAAGGCCAGGGTCAGGAAATACATAGGGAAGTGAGGGGCAGAGCGGCAGCACCTCATAGAGTGCTGGGGGAGGTTCAGGGAAGGCTTCCTGGAGGAAGGGCACCAGAGCTCAAGTTGGCAGGATCGGGGTGCGGGTGGGGTATGGGGGGAAGAGTGTGAGGAGTTCCCAGGCGGAGGGAAGACCACGAGGAGGGCTCTGAAATGCAGACAGCCTACTTAGGAAACTGGAAGTGGCCAGCGTGGCTGATGTGTGGCACTGCATGAGGACGGAAAGGCGGGTGGGGCCTTGATGGCCCCGGTGTGGCACCCAGGCTGTGTCCTGAAGGCTCTGAGACACACGAGAGCATCTGGAGCAGGGGACAGACACGGCCAGATATAGAAAGATCCCTCTGGCTGCTGAGTGGAGGGTAGCCCAGAGAAGGTGAAACGGAAGCTGGGGCCCCAGGGAGGTGGCCAGAGTGTGCAGTGGGGAAGGAGGAGGGAAAGGGGGATAGATGCTCTAAAGGCTGAATGGATGTACAGCAGCAGAGGGGAAGGAGGAAGGGAGGCACCCAGATGAGGCCCACGGCTCTGGCCTGAGGACAGGGCAATGGTGGCGCTGCCCAAGACAGTAGCCCTGGAGGAAAAAGGACACAGGGCACCGGGGCTGAAGGCAGCAGCAAGTAAGCTGTAGAGTTTCAGTTTATCCCGAGGGCACTGGGGAGCCATGGAGGAGTTGGGAAGATCCCTTGGGCTGCCCAGTTGGATGAGCATCCACGGGGGCTGGACTGAAGCCAGAAGGCCACGAGAACAGGGTAAGGCTGGTGGCCTGGTTCCAGGGAGTGGAGGCTGGAGAAAGTTAGAGGAACGTCCAAGCTGGAAGACGGATCATCTTGCTCAGACAAGTGATACAGGTGTCAAGAAAATGGCAGCTGAAATTCTGCTGCAAGGAAAGCCCACTGCGACTCCTGCCAGGGCTGCTTGGCCCTAAATCTTAGTCGACACAGCCAGTCCTCCTGGAGGCCTGCTGATGACCTGCAGGGATCTAGAAACCCCACAGAATGGCAAATAAACTTGTGGGGTCTGTGCATTTTCTGCAGAAGAAGGATCCCCAGCTTTCATCAGATTCCTTAATTTGAAAAGAGTGAAGGGATTCTGACCTTTCCGGGGATGGCTTGTATCTGGCGTAGGTGGCCGAGCCGGGGGTGGAGAAGCTCCCAGAAGGCTGGCGGTAGGGAGGGACTTTGTCGGCCCCTGCTGGTGATGCTGTGTAAGGGGTTTCTGGGAAGCTGACAGGCCTGGAACAGAGAGACAAGGGAGGCCGGGGGTGAGTGAGGACACCCCTGGCCTCATAGAGGAGAAAAGACCTTTCCCTCCTGCCCAACCACATCCCAACGTGTCCTCCTCCCCTGCGGATGGAGAGACAGCTGCTGAACACCGGCTGGCAGGAGTCAGGACCCCCTTGCCTTTCCCCTCCCACTGATGCTGCCGAAAATAGTTCTCGCCCAGTCCTGGGACGAGACGAGACACCCCTCTGCAAGCTTGATCCCTTCGTTTTTCGGAAATTTATCCTTATCTTTTAATATATTCAAAGGAATATTTGTAAGTTATATGTTATCACAATAAAACAAACTCCCTGAAGCTACCACTTACCCCCAGAACAGAAGGGCGGCAACACACATCCACCGGCGGGCTGCTCCCCTCCCACTCCCTGCCTCCCTCAAGAAGTAATCACCATCCTAAACGTTATGCTTATCAGTCCCTTGACCTCTTAAAAAATATATAGTTTTAATTATAGATGGTATGGTGGATTTCCAACCTCAGACACTGAGCTCCAGCACGGCCCTCCCAAGAGAGGCTCATGACGAAAGTCGAAGGAGAGGGAGAGCAGCAGGCATAAAGACAAGGAGGAGAAAGACAGAGGAGAGGAAGAGGCTGGAGAGAGAGAGGAGAGAGAAAAGGGCGAAGGACAGGAGGGTGACGGGGCTGGGGCAGTGCCCCTCGGGGGTCCTTACCTCTTGCTGTGCAGGGGCTGTGACTCCCGGAAGGGGACCACGGGGGTCTGCTTCGGGGGCCGGCTCAGGGACTGGGCATGGCTGGGGGTGGCTGGAGGGGCCCACTTGGAGGCTGCCAGAGAGTTGTGGGACGCGGGCCCGCTCCATTGCCAGGGAGCATTGCTGCGGTAGGGGGGCCGGCCCCCGGGGGTCACGCTGTCCGGCTCTGTCTTGGGCTCCGAGGTATTCATGTCATAGGTCTCCGGCCACCCCCTGGAAGAGAAACTGCGTTACTCAGACAGGCCCTGGCCCACGGCGCGCGTGCCTGCTGCCTGGGAGAGGCCTGCTGCCCTGTGACACCGGGCTGGGTTTCCTGGTCAAGTCTGAACCGTGAGGGCCTATTTCAAAGGCCGAGTAGATACCCTTTAAATGGGTCTGAAACTTACCAGCTCAGAGTCCTCAACCAGGACAGGGCCCAACACAGGGACTCTGACTGCCTGGCCCTCTCCACCTCCTCTCCTCTCCTCTCCCTCTCTCTCCGTTTCCCTTCTCCCTTCTCCCCGACCCAGGCCTCAAGCTGGCCAGTGTCCTCCATGGACTGGCTCGGCCCCCTTCGCGGTCCTCGGGGCCAGAAAGGTGGATGCCCTTGGCATCAAAGTATAGTATCTGCCTTGTTCCAGAGAAGCTCAAAGGCAGCTGGAGGAGGAGCAGGTGACCTACTTTGCAGGGTGGTTAAAAAAAAAAGCCATGAAATCCAGAACCTTGAAATAGATGCAGAACAGCCTGTGACTCCCTCAAGACCAGGCTGGCCTAGGCACAGCGCTCCCGGCTCGGGGCGGGGGATCCGCGCTGGGCTGGTGCTCTCTACCGCGGCTGCAGCACAGCACGGGCGGGGGCTCTGAGCCCAGGGAGGGGGCCGTGCTCCCGAAATCCACCTCCCAGCAGCCGTGGGAGCTGCGCTCGGAGGAGCCCTCGGCCTGGAAGCTTTCCTGCCCCCATCGAATGATCCTCTGTGGCTCTCCTGAGTCCCCTGAAGCCCAGGGAACCTTCAGGGCCACTCGGCAAAAGAGCTGATGGACTCAGTGGCTGGAAGGCCGTGCGCCCAGGACACGGCTGCTAAGGAGTCATCGAAAGCCGCCCCGAGGATGTGCTCTCCCCGGGCCCGACACACTGTGCCCCCAGCAGCATTAGGGTCAGAGCTGACATTCAGCAGCTCCTTCTGTCTGTCTCCCTGGATTGGCAGGCGTGGATGCCTCACCAGGTACCAGACGAGGAATGACAACAATACGAATGTCTAACAGAGCCTGTGGACAGGCCAGCCTGGGCCCC